TTAAAACAAGGGTTCGTGATTTTGGTTTCATTTCAAACATTTCAAGCACAGTCTAGGAGATTTGTGAGGGGGTTTTCGAGGGGATTCTTGAGGTAAGTCCCTTGCGCTCATTTTTTATCAATAATCTTGCTTCCCAATTGATTTTTCCACCTAGTTTGTGTGTATTTAAGGTGTAAATTGGGAGTTTGAGTCTAGGGATTTGAAGAGTTTGATTTAGGGAATTGTGTGACGATTTGGTGTCGAATTTTGATAAATTTGGTATGGTTAGACTCGTGGTTGAGTGGGATTTCGGGTTTTGTAACTTTTATTGAATTTCGAGACGTGGGCCCGGAGCGACTTTTGAGCCAATTTTTTATTATAATTAATATCTTAGCATTTCTTATGGAGTTGATTCCTTTAGCTCGTATTGATTATATCGCATTTTTTGTGGCTAGATTCGAGAAATTCGGAGGCTGTTTCGCGAGGCAAGGGTGTGATGGAGTAGAGATTTGCTCGGATTGAGGTAAGTAACAGTTCTAAATTTGGTTTTGAGGGTACAAATTCTCGTATTACGTGTTATGTATTTGGGTTTAAGGTGACACACATGCTAGGTGACGGGCGTGTGGGCGTGTACCGTAGAAATTATGACTTGGTCAAATTTCATGGAACCGTGTAGTTGAATAATCTATTGTTATCTCTACATTCTCCATGCAGTAGAGAAATTGAACCACAAATCATGTTAGAAATCATGTTTAGACTATGTTTTGACACTATAGGGACCCATAAAGGTCGTGTACATGTTGAATTATCTGCTAAACTATTGTTTTGCACTCAGTCACAGTTTTACTTGTTTATTATATCTCAGTCTCTATTGTTACTTGTTGATACATTATATCATTTCTGTTGGGGCTGACTTTCATGATTACTGAGAGCCCGATAGACTAGAGGGATTGATGACTATGAGGCCGAGGGCCTGATTGTGAGATATTGATACCATAGCACGTGAGTTGTCTGTGCAACACGTGAGTTATCTGTGCGGATCCAGATATTATACTACAACACGTTAGTTGTCCGTGCGGATCCAGATATTGTACTATAGCACATGAGTTGTCCGTGTAACACGTGAGTTGTCCGTGCACACTATAGCGCTTGGGCTGAATGAGCCCCTCCGGAGTCCGCACACACTCCCAGTGAGTGCTGGTACCTACTGAGTGAGATTGCCGAGTGCCGAGTGCTGAGTGAATGGGAGGGCTGAGTGATTGTGGCCCTGGGAGGATGCATTTGATTTTATTATTGTTGCACTTAGCTGCCATGTATCACTGTCTTGAAATTTCTGAAAGATATTACACTCTGTTTCACTTAAACTTGTCATGGAATAACTGTGTGACCTAATTTATCAAACTTGAGAGCATGCCTACTTTCCAATGTTGGAATCACAGTAATAGAACTATAACTGTGAAACTCATCACTACTTTCAGTTCTTTATTTAGTCTTGTTACTTACTGTGTTGGTTGTACTCACGCTACACCATGTACCTTGTGTGCAGACTCAGGTGCTTCTAGTCACGATGGTTGCTGAGTTGTGGAGTTGTGGAGTTCGGATTCTCGGAGACTATTGAGGTAGCTGCTTGGCATTTTGCAGACCTTGTTTCTCTTTCCTTATCTTTCTACTTATTGTATTTAGTTTCAAATTATCATAGACAGTATTTTCCAGACTTGTGATGTATAGATACACATGTACTTTGTGACACCCCAGTAGTTGGGAACTTCCGCGTTGTATTTTGGGTTTCTATCCTGTTTATGAAATATTTTATTGTTTAAACTACTTAAGTTCGTTTTCTGTTAAAAAGTGTTGGAAATATTTTTAAATGTCGGCTTGCCCAGTGCCACGATAGGCACCATCACGACAGGTTAGGATTTTGGGTCATGACAAGTTGGTATCAGAGCCTAGGTTACATAGGTCTCACGAGTCATGAGCAGGTTTAGTAGAGTCTTGCGGATCGGTATGGAGAGGTATGTACTTATCTTCGAGAGGCTGTCGAACTCTTAGGAAATTTCACATTCTTGTATTCTTGTCGTGCAGATTTGTTGATTCCGGTAACTAAACTTCTGCATTCTATTCTCTCACAGATGGTGAGGACACGTGCTACCGGACATGATGGACAACCACCAGTACCACCAGCTAGGGCCACGACAGACCGAGGTCGCGGTAGGGGTCATGGTATGGGCCGCGGTAGGAGTAGAGGTGCAGCTCGTACAACAACTAGAGCAGCACCTGCAGATCCACCAGTTGCTCCGGCTCAGGAGAAGGTTCCACATATAGTTGAGCCAGTGGGGCCAGCTCAGGCACCAGTTGTGCCCATTGTGATTCCAGGCCTTCAAGAGGCTTTGGCCCAGATATTGATAATTTTCACTAGCCTTGCTCAGGTGGTATCGGCCCAGGCCGCGCCAGCCACTTCTCAGGTCGGGGGAGGTACTCATACCCCCGTTGTCCGTACTCCAGAGCAGGTGATGTAGGGACTTCAGACACCGAAAGTACTACCAGCCCAGTCAGTTACAGCTACTCAGGCTCTGGTGGTCCCCGTTATGACTGATGATGAGCATAGGAGACTTGAGAGATTTGGGAGGCTTCGACATCCATCATTTAGCGGCGCTGAGTCGGAGGATGCCCAGGGATCCTTGGATAAGTGCCAGCAGATTCTTCGTACAACAGGTATTCTGGAGACCAGTAGGGTGTCTTTCACTACTTTCCAGTTTTCTGGGGCTGCCTTCAGATGGTGGGAGGCTTATGAGAGGCGCAGACCGGTCGGTGGAGCACCACTTATATGGCAGGAGTTCTCCGTTCTCTTCTTGGAGAAGTTCGTGCCACAGTCTCACAGAGAGGAGTTGTGCAGACAATTTGAGCAGCTTCGGTAGGATGGCATGTCTGTGACCCAGTACGAGATGAGGTTTTCTGAGTTAGCTCGCAACGTAGTTTTTTTGGTTCCCACTGATAGAGAGAGGATCATGAGGTTCATCGATGGCCTCATGTATCAGTTGCGGTTGAGAGATAGTCCGTAGCTAGAAGCGTGGTGAGAGGAAGGCCAAGAGGCCTCGAGGTTCGGGCGATTTCAGTGGTGTACCTTCTGGGGGCAGTCCTACTACAGCAGGGGTCATCCTTATAGGCCCGCTCAGACGACTCGTCTAGCTCATCATGGTGCATCAGCTAGCCACAGTTCTTATAGTGCTCACTCAAGCCAGTCTTCATTCAGTGCATTACCAGCGCAGAGTTCTCAACATGCGTCTTTCACTCAGGTTTCTACAGGTAGTTCCTCGGGTTATCAGGAGCAACTATTCCGTCAGAGGAGAGGTTGTTTCGAGTGTGGAGACTTTGGTCATATCAAGAGAGATTTCCCTAGGTTGTTGAGTGGGGCTCCACAACAGAGTTCTCAGCCTATGGCACCAGCACCAGCAGTCACACCACCCACTCAGCCAGTTCGGGGTAGGACCCATGCAGCTAGAGGTCGCCCTATAGGGGGAGGCCAATCGGGGGCAGTCAGGCCTGTATCTATGCCATTGCTGCTAGACCATATATTGTTGCCTCCAATGCATTGATCACATGTATTGTCTCAGTATGCCATATGGATGCCTCTGTATTATTTGACCATGGTTTCACTTATTCGTATGTATCATCGTATTTTGTTCATTATCTGGACCCCGTGAGTCCTTAGTTTCATCTGTTCATGTATCCACGCCAGTGGGTGATACTATTGTCGTGGACCGTATATATCGGTCGTGTGTAGTGACTATTGGGGAATTGGAGACTAGAACTGATCTCTTATTGCTTAGTATGGTGGACTTCGATGTGATCTAGAGTATGGATTGGCTGTCTCTATGTCATGATGTTCTGGATTGTCACGCTAAAACCGTGACATTGGAAATGCCGGGGCTGCCAAAGATTGAGTGGAGAGGTTCTCTAGACTATGTCCCCAGCAGAGTGATTTCATATTTGAAGTCCCATCGGATGATTGGGAATGGTTGCTTATCTTATTTGGCCTTTGTGAGGGATGTTGGTGTTGATACTCCTTCTATTGATTCTGTTCCGGTGGTGCGAGATTTTCCTGGATGTGTTTCCTGCAGACCTGCCGGACATGCTGCCCTACAGGGATATTGATTTTGGTATTGACTTGGTTGCGGGCACTCAACCCATTTCTATTCTACCATATCGTATGGCACCGGCTGAGTTGAAGGAATTGAAGGAGCAACTTCAAGAAATCCTTGATAAGGGGTTTATTAGGCCTATTGTTTCACCTTGGGGTGCACCGATTCTGTTTGTGAAGAAGAAGGATGGTACTACGTGGATGTGCATTGATTATAGGCAGTTGAACAAAGTTACAATCAAGAACAAGTGTCCTTTGCCGCGTATTGATAATCTATTCGACCAGCTTCAGGGAGCGAGGGTGTTCTCTAAGATTGACTTGAGGTTTGGGTATCACCAGTTGAAGATTCGGGACTCGAATATTCTAAAAACAACATTCAGGGCCCGTTATGGTCATTATGAGTTTCTTGTGATGTCTTTTGGGGTGACCAACGCCCCAACAACATTCATGCACCTGATGAATATTGTATTTCAGCCTTATCTTGATTCGTTCACTACTAGAAATTAGGGCTATAGCAACGATTTTAATGGAAACGGATCTGTAAACGTTGCTATAGATGGTCTATTGCAACGGTTCCAACCGTTGAGTAAGGTTATTGGTACTATCGGCACAGTTTAGCACCTGAACCGTTGCATTAGTCCAAACACCGTTACAATAGATGTTTCTATGGCAACGGTTTAGACGACCATGACAATATAACTATAGTAACGGTTACTTGCAATTTTTGATTTATCGCAACGGTTATGAATTCCCTCTACTTTTTCCCCCAAATTTTGGACACACCTGCTAAAAAGAGACCCACCCTAATTAATTTTCTATTATTTTTTATATGTAATAAAATAAGAGTATAAACCTAATAATACACTACATGTGATATACCACACTCAAACGACACTCATAACTCTCTCTCCCAAATAGCCTTCCTCGTTACCGGAGATTACGAGGAGAAGACAAACCACCATCGGCGGCAACGGCGGCGTTAAAACTGGAAAATCTGTTAATACTCATCTTGCTAATCCGCTAGGGTTTCTCAAAATGGTGAGAGATAAGTTGAAAACTAATCGAAAAGCCATCTTGTCCAACTTATTAATTTTCTCTTCCTTAAAGTTGTGAGTATTTTCTGCCGAAGCTTTAAATCTAATTAGAAATCTGTTAGGATATTTTTGTACTATAATTCATCCCTTTTTTGCAATCGACTTTATGAGGAAAATATAAAATTGCACCCTAATTTCATCCTATTTTCTACTGTAAAGGTCGCACGATTTTCGCCTTTGAAGCAGAATAGTAGCAGCTTTCGCGGTCTTCTTGTCAAGGCAGAATATCCCCTAGGTATAAAATTTTCTTTTTTATTGCTGAATGTGTTAAGAATAATTGAGTTCTTACAATAGCTTCCTCTATGTTTGAGCAGGGATCAATGCAATATCTGAGCTTGTAAAAATCAGATCTTTTTAATATTTGTCAGCGACAAGCAGGAGGCTGTTGCTGCTACCACTGCTATCCAAGAGGAGATATTTTCCGAGATGAGAATTGGTGAGCTTTAAATTACTCATGCTTTACTTCAAGGACAGTTCAACTTAGGCAATTGTTGAGTATTAAAGAGCAAGTGCTCTTTTTTCTGTGGTATAGTCATACATATGTTCGTTGTACATATGTTAGAGCATGCGTGCAAAGACTAAGCACTTTTTACTCTAATCTAGTTGAACCGTGTTGCTTGGTCATCGTATGGTGGTCCTTGTGTTTCATAAAAGAGATGCCAAAAACCAGTTTTGCAGATAGAGCTAGGCAGAATTGCAGATCTGTTACGATGTGATTTTGCAGAAGTGGTTAATATATACTTGTGATGCTGATGGTATTTCTGTTGTTTCATAAAATTGTATATTTAGCTTGGAATCAGAACCATATTACCCATTTTCTACAGGATGATAATCTTGTCATTTTGATTGTTTATTAGTTTAATTTGATAAGAAGTTAGATTGGGTTTCTGCTCTCTTTTCGTTGTTGCCGTTGGTTCAAAAACTAATACTAAAGTTTTCCCATTGGTGATATGCAGTGTCATATAATATTTGGGGAAAAAGCATACCTACAAAAGTTTTTCCATTGGTGATATGCAGTGTCATTTAATATTTGGGGGAAAAGCGTACCTCCAATCGTTATGCATGCTTCATATAGTTATATCATTATAACAGGAGTCTTTATTTCTCTATTGCAGATCCAAGATTTGGTCTTGCTTGCTTGGGAAAAATAAACATGACTTATGAGGTTGCTTTATGGCATCATTTTCGTATAAGGAAATTTATTGCGTGAATTCTTTCTTTGTCCTTCCTGGTTTTCCTAAAATACTTAGTATCATGGATTTGTCATAATTTCTACCCACCATAGGCTTTATTTTGCAGCTGATAATCACCAAGGATGTGTATGCAGCTTAAATTGAAATACTATAATGTGCTAAGTTGTGTAGAAGTTCTAAATTCATTTCTTAGGAAGCAGTCTATATTCTTTTCTTGAGGTATGTTCTGTATATAGCTTTTCTAGATTACCATATTATTTGCATTCTTTTATCTTGTCGAGCTTAAATTGTTCTCAATTTGAAGTGTTATCTAATTTGCAATTTTATTAATATCTGTCATGTTATCGTCTGAAAGACGTCTATTTATTTACTTTTATTTCTCTCTTCTTGGCTCTCATGTGTATCTAATTTTGAATTCAGACAATGAGTATATATGTCTCATTGTTATAGTGTACGTGAGGGAGATGCCATCAACTCCCCTGGATGGATTCTTTCTCTTATTGTTTTAGCTCAGATGTTCTCCTCTCACTAATGCTGCCAAGTTTTGTTACAGCATGTACTGAAACATGGGAAGCCAAAGGAGCATTCGTCTATAATTAGTAAGCTGATGGGACAGATAGTTCAGATGAGCCAGCAAATATTTGCCTCCAATGATGTGCAGAAGTGATCAAGCTTCGGAACTCCCAAAGAACGTCAGACCTTGGTAGACGAGATGCTTGGCACAACTGATGAAAATGAACCTCTTCAGGTTTGTTTTTCTCTCAGATGCTTCTTCAGTAATGGCATACTCAAGATTACAGGAAATTTCTGTTGCGCCGATTGTTTGACTCTCAGAGGATTATCTAAGATTTCATTACTCTATTTGATTGGTTTAAGTTTTATATTGGAGATGCTCAAGCAATACAATAATTCCTTGACTGGAAGCACTTAGCTTTTACTATAGAACTATATGCTTTTCCAGTGCTGCCCTTTAGACAACCTATTGTGTTTGCCCATCTTATTTCAAGTTTTTAGCACGATAAAATAATTTACTACCTTATATAGCTATACATGTTCTTTAGCACGATGAAGTTGAAAACTGTTAGTTTGGTTGGCTACCGAAACTGTTAGATTGTTCATTTGGTTATGTTTTTATGTTTGAGTTGGTTCAAAATAAGAAAAGCAGACAACTCTCAATTTGTCTGAATGCATATGCTTACAAGTTTGGTTTTGATGATTTAGATTTGTTACTAAACTTTGGCTTCTTCGTTTGTGTGAACTTGTTTCTTTCACCTGGACTATACCCATTCTTATAATGGTAAACCAATCCTTGAAGGGTAATGACTTTATTTATCCTTTTTTGTAGGTGGAGCAACTAAAAAAAGTGAAGATGGAGATAGTGAAGATCTAGACCTTACTTAATTAAGAAGAACTTTGAATTGTTGTCGATGTTCTAGGAGTCTTTTGTTATCAACATTTGAAACTTTAACTTTTGAAGTGTTGAACTGTAAAACTTATGTGATTGGGTTAAAACATTTTGCTATTATGGGTATTATTAGCTTATTGGACAATATAGATTATGAAGTGTTTTATCTTTTTATTTATATAATTTCCAGGTTATTACAAATATTTATATATGTAAATGTTATTTATAACCAGGGCAATACTGTCAATTAAACTGTTACAATAGCCTAATAGACTCGTTGTTATAGAAATAAAATCGTTAGAATATCGGTAAATAACCGTTGTAATAGCATACATAACCGTTGCAATAAATTATATGGTAACGGTTTCCAACCGTCGTGGTAAATAATATGGTAACAATTTACAACCGTTGCATTAAACTCTATGGTAACAGTTTTAAACCGTTGCAGTTGAAATGAACACTCGTTGCTTCAGATAGAGGAAAAGCCGTTGCGATAGCTGGCGCTATGGCAATGGTGTGGTCAGCCGTCGCAAGAACCGTTGCTCTAGATCTATTGGTAAACGAGCGGATGTAACGGTTGCTAAACCGTTCCAATATATCTATGGCAACGGTTTACCTATCATTTGCAACGGTTTTCCCGATGTTGCCATAGGCCCATTTTCCATTAGTGGTTTGTCATAGTGTTCATTGATGACATCCTGGTGTACTCTCGTAGCCAGGAGGAGCATGCCCAGAATTTGAGGATTGTATTGCAGCGGTTGAGGGATGAGAAGCTTTATGCTAAGTTCTCCAAATGTGAGTTTTGGCTTAGTTCAGTGGCATTCTTGGGACACGTGATGTCCAGTGAGGGATTCAGGTGGATCCGAGGAAGATAGAGGCGGTTCATAGTTGGCCCAGACCGTCCTCAGCTACGGAGATTCAGAGTTTTCTCGGCTTGGCCAGTTATTATCATCGCTTCGTGGAGGGTTTCTCGTCTATTGCGTCGCCTTTGACCAAATTGACCCAAAAGGGTGTTATTTTCAAATGGTCGGATGAGTGTGAGGAGAGCTTTCAGAAGCTCAAGACTGCCTTGACCACAACTCCAGTTTTAGTTCTACCTTCAGCTTCTGGCTCTTATACAGTGTATTGTGATGCTTCTCGAATCGGTATTGGATGTGTCTTGATGCAGGAAGGTAGAGTGATTGCATATGCTTCACATCAGTTGAAACCCCATGAGAAGAACTACCCTGTCCATGATTTGGAGTTAGCTGCCATCGTTCATGTATTAAAGATTTGGAGGCATTATCTCTACGCTGTGTCTTGTGAGGTGTTTACAGATAATCAGAGTCTCCAACACTTATTCAGACAGAAGGATCTAAATTTGAGGCAACGGAGATGGTTGGAGATGCTAAAGGACTATGATATAACTATTTTGTATCATCCCGGGAAGGCCAATGTGGTAGCTGATGCCTTGAGTAGAAATGCGGTGAGTATGGGTAGCCTTGCATTCATTCCTGTTGGTGAGAGATCTCTTGCAGTTGATGTTCAGGCCTTGGCCAACCAGTTTGTGAGATTAGATGTCTCGGAGCCCAGTCGGGTTCTAGCATGTGTGGTCTCTTGGTCTTCTTTATATGATCGCATTAGAGAGCGCCAATATGATGACCCTTATTTGCTTGTCCTTAAGGACACGGTTCAGCATGGTGATGCCAGAGATGTTACTATTGGGGATGATGGAATATTGAGGATGCAGGGTCGGATTTGTGTACCTAATGTAGATGGGCTACGTGAGTTGATTCTTGAGGAGGCCCACCATTCACGGTATTCCATTCATCCGGGTGTCGCGAAGATGTATCAGGACTTGAGGCAGCATTATTGGTGGAGAAGAATGAAGAAGGATATAGTGGGGTTTGTAGCTCGGTGCCTCAACTATCAGCAGGTGAAATATGAGCATTAGAGACCAGGCGGATTGCTTCAGAGGCTAGAGATTCCAGAGTGGAAATAGGAGCGGATGACCATGTATTTTGTAGTTGGCTCCCACGGACTTCGAGGAAGTTCGATGCTATTTGGGTGATTGTGGATCGGCTGACCAAGTCCGCGCACTTCATTCCAATTGGAACGACTTATACTTCGGAGCGGTTGGCTGAGATTTACATCCGAGAGATTGTTCGCCTCCATGGCATGCTAGTGTCCATCATTTTAGATCGGGGCACGCAGTTCACATCGCAGTTTTGGAGAGCCGTGCAGCGAGAGTTGGGTACCCAGGTTGAGTTGAGCACAACGTTTCACCCTCAGACAGACGGACAGTCCGAGCGCACTATTCAAATATTGGAGGATATGCTACGTGCTTGTGTCATTGATTTTGGGGGTTCTTGGGATCAGTTTCTGCCACTCGCGGAGTTTGCCTACAACAACAGCTACCAATCGAGCATCCAAATGGCTCCGTATGAGGCTTTGTATGGGATACGGTGTAGATCTCCGATGGGTTGGTTTGAGCCTGGTGAGGCTAGGCTATTGGGTTCTAACTTGGTCCAGGATGCTTTGGACAAGGTTAAGATGATTCAGGAGCAGGTTTGCATGGCGCAATCTAGACATAAGAGTTATGCCGACATGAAGGTCTGTGATGTTGCTTTCATGGCTGCGGAGAAGCCATGAAAGGTTTCATGGCTCAAGGTTTCACCCATGAAGGGTGTTATGGTTCGGAAAGAAGGGCAAGTTGAGCCTTCAGTATATTGGGTCGTTTGAGGTACTTTAGAGGATTGGGGAGGTGGCTTACAAGCTTGCCTTGCCACCTAGTTTGTCGAGTGTGCATCCAGTGTTTCATGTTTCTATGCTCTAGAAGTATATCGACAATCCTTCTCATGTTTTGGATTTCAGCACGGTTCAGTTGGATGGTGATTTGATTTATGATGTGGAGCCGGTGGCCATTTTGGGTCGGCAGTTTCATAAGTTGAGGTCAAAAGACATAGCTTCAGTGAAGGTGCAATGGAGAGGTCAGCCAGTTGAGAAGGCTACTTGGGAGACCGTGCGGGAGATGCGGGGCAGATATCCACACCTATTTGGGACTGCAGGTACGTTTCTAGACCCGTTCGAGGATGAACGTTTGTTTAAGAGGGGGAGGACGTAACAACCCGGCCGATCGTTTTTGAGAGTTGTAAACCTGTTTTCTCATTTACCACTCATTTTGTACTTTATAGCAGTTATATGACTTTCTAGGGTAGTTGGTTTGGTCCGGAGTGAATTCAGAATAAAATGCGATACTTAGTCTCAAGGATGAAAGCTTAAGTTGAAATGATTAATCGGATGTCGATCTATGAGTAAACGACTTCGGAATAGAATTTTGATGGTTCTGTTAGCTCAGTTGGGTGATTTTGGACTTAGGAGGGTGTCCGGATTGTGATTTGGAGGTTCGTAGTGGAATTAGGCTTGAAATAGCGAAAGTTGAATTTTTGGGAAGTTTGACCGAGAGAGGACATTTTGACATCAGGGTCGGATTCCGATTCCTCAAGTTGGAGTAGGTCTGTAATGTCAAATGTGACTTGTGTGCAAACTTTGGGGTCAATCGGACATGTTTTGATAGGTTTCGACGTCATTTATAGAAGTTGAATTTCCTTAGATTTAATAGGCTTGAATCGGGGTGCGATTTGTGTTTTAGAAGTCGTTTGATGTGATTTGAGGGCCAGACTAAGTTTGTATGAGGTTTTAGACTTGTTGGTATGTTTGGTTGAGGTCCCGGGGGCCTCAGGTTCATTTCGGATAGTTAACAGATCAAAAGTTATAGTTGGACCTCTGCTGGTGTAACCGCACCGGCGGAGCTTTGATCGCAGGTGCGAAGCATTTTTCGCACCTACGGTGAGAGGAGCACAGAAGTGGAAGGTGCGCTGGTGCGATAGGGAGTTCTGCATCTGCGTGACCGCAGATACGGCAGGAGGACTGCAGAAGCGGAAGTAGGCAAATGAGCTGGGACCGCAGAAGCGGCTTGGATGCTCGCAAAAGCAAGTCCGCAGAAGCGATGTGGACCGCAGATGCATGGCTGATGTCGTTTCTGCGACGCCGCAGAAGCGGTTAAGTGTTCGTATAAGCGGAAACCCTAGGCAGATTATTAAAACAAGGGTTCGCGATTTTGGCTTCATTCCAAACATTTCAAGCACGGTCTAGGCAATTTTTGAGAGGGTTTTCGAGGGGATTCTTGAGGTAAGTCTCTTGTGCTCATTTTTGATCAATTATCTTGCTTCCCCATTGATTTTTCCACATAGTTGGTGTGTATTTAAGGTGTAAATTGGGAGTTTGAGGCTAGGTATTTGGAGTGTTTTATTTGGGGAATTGGGTGACGATTTGGTGTCGGATTTTGATAAATTTAGTATGGTTAGACTCGAGGATGAGTGGGATTTCGGGTTTTGTGACTTTTATCGAATTTCAAAACGTGGGCTCGGGGGAGGCTTTTGAGCCGATTTTTTATTTTGATTAATAGCTTAGCATTTCTTATGGAGTTGATTCCTTTAGCCCGTATTAATTATATCGCATTGTCTATGGCTAGATTCGAGGTATTCGGAGGCCGTTTCGCGATGCAAGGGTGTGTTGGAGTAGAGATTTGCTCGAATTGAGGTAAGTAATAGTTTTAAATTTGGTTCTGAGGGTACGAAACCTCGTATTACATGTTATGTATTTGGTTTTGAGGTGATGCACATGCTAGGAGACGGGCGTGTGGACATGCACCGTAGAAATTGTGACTTGGTCAGATTATGTGGAACCATATAGTTGAATAATCTGTTGTTGTCTGTTCATTCTCCATGTAGTAGAGAAATTGAACCACAAATCATGTTTAGACTATGTTTTGACACTGTAGGGACCTACAAAGGTCGTGTACATGTTGAATTATTTGCTAAATTGTTATTTTGTACTCAGTCAAAGTTTTACTTGTTTATTATATCTCAGTCTCTATGGTTCTTTGTTGATACATTATATCATTTCTGTTGGGACTGACTTTCATGATTATTGAGAGCCCGAGAGACTGGAGGGATTGATGACTGAGTGAGGTCGAGGGCCTGGTTGTGAGATATTAATACCATAGCACGCGAGTTGTCCGTGCAACACGTGAGTTGTCCGTGCGGATCCAGATATTATACTACAACACGTGAGTTGTCCGTGCGGATCCAGATATTATACAATAGCACGTGAGTTATCTGTGTTGCACGTGA